GCGCGCGCGACAACATCCTGTCCCTCTAGACAGCTGCCGAATGCGACCCCTGCCACACAAACACACACCCAGATGCACAGAATGCTGCGCCTGCCACGACTTCGGCAACGGCATCCGCCAAAGTGCTGCGCCTGCCACGATTTCGCAACGGCATCGCCAAAGTGCTGCGCCTGCCACGATTTCGCACGCCCCCCGCCGCGCGCGCGACAACATCCTGTCCCTCTAGACAGCTGCCGAATGCGACCCCTGCCACACAAACACACCCAGATGCACAGAATGCTGCGCCTGCCACGACTTCGGCAACGGCATCGCCAAAGTGCTGCGCCTGCCACGATTTCGCACCGGCATCGCCAAAGTGCTGCGCCTGCCACGATTTCGCACGCCCCCCGCCGCGCGCGCGACAACATCCTGTCCCTCTAGACAGCTGAATGCGACCCCTGCCACACAAACACACACCCAGATGCACAGAATGCTGCGCCTGCCACGACTTCGGCAACGGCATCGCCAAAGTGCTGCGCCTGCCACGATTTCGCAACGGCATCGCCAAAGTGCTGCGCCTGCCACGATTTCGCACGCCCCCCGCCGCGCGCGCGACAACATCCTGTCCCTCTAGACAGCTGCCGAATGCGACCCTGCCACACAAACACACACCCAGATGCACAGAATGCTGCGCCTGCCACGACTTCGGCAACGGCATCGCCAAAGTGCTGCGCCTGCCACGATTTCGCAACGGCATCGCCAAAGTGCTGCTCCTGCCACGATTTCGCACGCCCCCCGCCGCGCGCGCGACAACATCCTGTCCCTCTAGACAGCTGCCGAATGCGACCCCTGCCACACAAACACACACCCAGATGCACAGAAAGCTGCGCCTGCCACGACTTCGGCAACGGCATCCGCAAAGTGCTGCGCCTGCCACGATTTCGCAACGGCATCGCCAAAGTGCTGCGCCTGCCACGATTTCGCACGCCCCCCCGCCGCGCGCGCGACAACATCCTGTCCCTCTAGACAGCTGCCGAATGCGACCCCTGCCACACAAACACACACCCAGATGCACAGAATGCTGCGCCTGCCACGACTTCGGCAACGGCATCCGCAAAGTGCTGCGCCTACCACGATTTCGCAACGGCATCGCCAAAGTGCTGCGCCTGCCACGATTTCACACACCCCCCACCGCGCGCGCGACAACATCCTGTCCCTCTAGACAGCTGCCGAATGCGACCCCTGCCACACAAACACACACCCAGATGCACAGAATGCTGCGCCTGCCACGACTTCGGCAACGCCATCGCCAAAGTGCTGCGCCTGCCACGATTTCGCAACGGCATCGCCAAAGTGCTGCGCCTGCCACGATTTCGCACGCCCCCCGCCGCGCGCGCGACAACCTCCTGTCCCTCTAGACAGCTGCCGTGAGTCAGCGAGTGTGAGTGAGTGAGTGAGCGAGTGAGTGAGTGAGTGAGTGAGTGAATGAGAGTGAGTGAATGAGAGTGAGTGAATGAGAGTGAGTGTGAGTGAGTGAGTGTGAGTGAGCGTGAGTGAGTGAGTGAGTGAGTTTGAGTGAGTGTGAGTGAGTGAGTGTGAGTGAGCGTGAGTGAGTGAGTGAGTGAGTGTGAGTGAGTGTGAGTGAGTGAGTGTGAGTGAGTGTGAGTGACGGAGTGTGAGTGAGTGAGTGTGAGTGAGTGTGAGTGAGTGTGAGTGACTGAGTGTGAGTGAGTGAGTGTGAGTGAGTGAGTGTGAGTTGAGTGAGTGTAAGTGAGTGAGTGAGAGTGAGTGAGTGAGTGAGTGAGTGAGTGAGTGAGTGAGTGAGTGAGTGAGTGAGTGAGTGAGACGGAGACGAGCGGGAGAAGGAGGAGACGCGGCGCGCGGACGACGAGCGGAAAAAGTAAGAACCCCACACAGAGATGTGGGGAAAAAATAGTACGCGAAGTACATTCCCACAGCTCCGGCAGCACTTGCTCAGAGCAACTTGCGCAGAGCAACTTGCGCAGAGCAACTTGCACAGAGCACTTGCACAAAGCACTTGCGGACCTATCTCGGCGCGGAGAGCGTCTCCCCAGCTCCGCCGGAAAAAGAAGAAAGAACTCAGAATCGAGAAGAGAAGGTAGAAAAGGAAAAGTCGGCTTGCAATGTAACGCCTGAAAAAAAATACTTGCGCTTTACGATGCCGAAGAAACGCCCGAGAAGTTAGCTTGCGCTTTAGGATAGTGAAGTAACACTCGAAAATTTGGCTTGTGTTTTGGGACAGTGCATTTGGCTTGTGAAGTGAGATTGGGCAGTTGGCAGTTGTCATTGGCTTGTGAAGTGAGATTGGGCAGTTGGCTGGTGTAATTGGCTTGTAAAATGAACATGCGCAGTTGGATTTTGGAGTGATAGGCAGCTGACAAGAGCAATAGTAGCCGAAGCTTGGATGTCATGAGTGTCTCAGTAGCGGAGCTTGCCCAGAGAATGTTTGCGGCGACAGTTGATTAGGGCGACACGGCTTCTTTGTGTTGGTGTTATGCTTCATTTTTTGGAGGGGTGCTCCATGAGGTTGCTGTCGCTTGTCATTGCTGCTTGCACGTGCATTCATGCTCAAGGCAGTCCTCCGTGTTAGTACTGTAGAAGGTGTCATCGCTCAGATCGCATCTTCCGAAGTGCGGATTCGTTTCCTTGGCGCACCAATCTTGTCAAAGCAGTTACACACAGCGGGTGGCCAGAAGATATCAGAGTCGCGCGGCGCTGGCGGGTATCTCCGACGTGTCGTGTTGCCATGTCGCATTCTGGTCGCCAGCGACGTGCGCAGGCTGGACGTTGGCATGCGAGAGCGCACGATTGTTTCGCATACCCCTCTTGGTTTCTTGGAATTACCACTTTTGGCTTGCGCTGTTGGTTTCCACCGTGTGTCTTTCAGCGCGCGCAGCAGGCTGCGAATCCCTTGGATGCTCTTCCTGATGCTGAGCATTTACGGGCTGAAGCAGCAGTACATGGTCAAGACTGGCTCCATGCTGAGCTGGATGGCTCGATGAAGCTGGACAAGCTTCGTGCCTTCGCAGCTGGCCTCGGCGTGCAGCAGAGGGATCCCGCATCTGGTAGTCGGCTTTCCAAGAGCCAGCTGCTTGAAGCCGTGGTTGCAGCTCTACGTTCGCGACCTGACGCAGAGGCATGGTTTCGCAGTTACAAGTAGACCCCACAAGTTTAGTTTTCTTGCTTAGCTCTTTTGGCACTTGTTCACGACAAGCCTTGAGATACCTGAGCGTGTCTTTCAGCGCGCGTAGCGGACAGAGGAGGGCTTGCTCGAAAGAATGTTTTTGTCAACAGTGTTTCCCTGAATGTAAGAGGCTGGTCGCCTTACTCTTTTGTGCGTGTTCAAGAACTATGTGATAAGAGCGCAGGCCACTTCGTCTTCGACAGCTGTAGCGAGTTCTGGGCATGGTCTTCCCGATGCACAGCACTTGCGAGCCGAAGCAGAAGCACGAGGTTCTGACTGGCTCCGGGCCGAGCTGGATGGCTCCATGACGGCGGCAAGGCTTCGCTCCTTTGGAGCCGGCCTAGGCGTTTCGCAGAGGGACCCCACGTCTGGCCAGCAGCGCACCAAGGGCCAGCTGCTTGCTGTCTTGGTCGAATCTCTGTGTCCTCCTTCCAGCGCAGAGGCATGGTTTTCCAAAGCACTTGTTTCTTGTCAACAGTGTTCGCGCGAACAGAGGAAAAGCGCTTGTTTTTGTTAACGGTTGCTTACCTTTTCTCCCGGGGATTGTGAAGAATGTGTTTCTTGTCAGCAGTGTTTGCGCGAACAGACGAGGGCTTGCTCAAAAGAATGTTTTTGTCAACAGCGTTTCCCTGAATGTAAGAGGCTTTGGAGCGTTCGCCTTATTCTTTTGTGCGTTCGCCTTCTTCCAGAGCAGAGGCATGGCTTTTTAAAACACGTAAGAACTATGTTGTAAGAGCGCAGGAAACTTCGTCTTCCACAGCTGCTGCGAGTTCTGGGGATGGCCTTCCTGACGCAGAGCGTCTGCGAGCCGAAGCAGCTCTACGGGGGTCTGACTGGCTCCGGGCCGAGCTGGACGGCTCCATGGCGGCGGAGAGGCTTCGCTCCTTTGGAGCCGGCCTTGGCGTGCAGAAGAGGGACCCCGCTTCTGGCCAGCAGCGCACCAAGGGCCAGCTGCTTGATGCCTTGGTCAACTTTTTGTGTCCTCCTTCCAGCGCAGAGGCATGGTTTTCCAAAGCACTTGTTTCTTGGCTTAGCTCCTTTGGCACCCTCAATGCGCAACTTGTTCACGACAAGCCTTGAGATACCGGAGCGTGTCTTTCAGCGCGCGTAGCGGACAGAGGAGGGCTTGCTCGAAAGAATGTTTTTGTCAACAGTGTTTCCCTGAATGTAAGAGGCTGGTCGCCTTACTCTTTTGTGCGTGTTCAAGAACTATGTGATAAGAGCGCAGGCCACTTCGTCTTCGACAGCCGTAGCGAGTTCTGGGCATGGTCTTCCCGACGCACAGCACTTGCGAGCCGAAGCAGAAGCACGAGGTTCTGACTGGCTCCGGGCCGAGCTGGATGGCTCCATGACGGCGGCAAGGCTTCGCTCCTTTGGAGCCGGCCTAGGCGTTTCGCAGAGGGACCCCACGTCTGGCCAGCAGCGCACCAAGGGCCAGCTGCTTGCTGTCTTGGTCGAATCTCT